ACCCCTGCAGAGGGTAGTAGTGGCAGAGATTCTAAACTTTACCAGGAAACGACCATGACAACGGAGTCAAAGATATATCCACCACATCCAGACCACCATCCTCCTGTCCCGTTGAGAATACTAGGTCAAGTGTATGACCTTTCTCATGAGTTGGGCCGATGACATTTTGAGACAACCCATGGTTGTCATGCTGGCCATGAAGTCCTGAGCTGCCCCTGATAAAGTGGCCTTGGCATGGAGGTTGAAGTCTCCCAGTACCAAGAGTCTGGGAGTCCTCACCACTAGATCCAAGATCTCCTCCGTCAGCTCAGGAAGGGAGACTGTTGGTAAGCAGCAGGGTGGGCAGTACACCAACAGAATCCCTAATCTGTCTCATGAGCCCAACACACAATACAGGCCCTCTAGACCATTTAGCCCTGCCTAGAATGAGGATTTCCACAATTCCTCGAGCAAGTGTAACAACTCTGAAACATTTCATGTTTGTATTTGGCTCAAATAGACAATTTTGTAATGGCAGAAGAGGATGAAAACTGTTTGCCCTAAAGTATAATAACTGTTAAGCATCAGTAATTAAACATATTTATTCTTGTAACTCTTCATTATGTAAATTTACCTTGTAATTTATACCCACGTGTACACTGGGGAGGAAGGTGTCCGGAAAAAGGGTGTGAGACTAAGTATAAAGGTTAGAGAAGAGAGTTCATGATTCTGTCAGAGGAGGAGAAAGGGGATAAATAAAGGTAGGGAGGAAAGAGAAGAGGAAAGCAGCCAACCTGATCTTCGGTGGGGGTAGGAAAAATGCCACATCTGGGGCTAAAAGAAACACGAATGTGTCATGTAATCAGCAATCAAGCAGGACAGAGTGCATTCATTGAGAAGGGGGGAAATCACTCTGTCCCCCACCAGCTTCCCCTGTGATTGACCTTGCTGGGTTTGTGAGCTATTACTATTTTAAATTTTATATAAAAGGTCTATTAGAATTTTACTATTTTGATGTCATCCCTTAGATGTCTTAGAAAGATCTGCATTTCCCAAAGCAGTGCTGGAAAGAATTTGAACTACTTTTGGAGATAGAATTCAAAATAATGGAAAACAAATTTGAAGTGTTTCGTGTTGTGTATTTAGATGATCGTTATATATTATGCTGCGGTAAAACACTGAGAGTAGTGCTAAGCACTAAGTCAGCAGTACAGAGATGCATGTAGTGAATAAACACATTTTCAGTAACTAAGACCTGAATATTGTGCCCTATCTTAACTTTGGTGCCTCTGACAGACTTTGCTGAGGGGAACTCTGTCTTGTCAGAGGGTTTTGTTCCCCTAGAAGTGGGGAAAGTTGGGCTTCTCGGGCAGGTGAGTCCTGGCCTCTGGACGTCCTCCTGATTCAGTGCAGAAGAAGTCCAGCGGCCAGGATCGAAGGGCCCGATCCAGATCCCCCCCCAATATTTCATTCGCCAAACTGGTCTGCGCTGGGCCGAGGAGGACCCCTGAAGGAAGAGGCAGTCCAGGCAAACAGACCAGATGGAATGAATGAGGAAAAAATGGAGAGTCCTGCTGTGCAGGCAGATGATGGAAGGAGCTGATGTGACGTCATTTCTCTTCTCTCCTCTCCCCCCCCCCGTTCGTGCAGGAGGGGGGAGAGGAGGAACATAGAGCTATGAAGGCAAAGGAAGAGCCCCTCCCCTGGACGCCCTTTGAACGGGAGCCGGAAGAGGCGGGGATCCTGCAGCGCCTGCCTCTTCCCCTTCGGCCCAAGAAAGGCGCCTGGAGGAGAGAAGCGGGGCTTTTGGGGCGCCTTCCCGGATCGGGACCTGGACGGAGGTGGGCGCTGGAGGGGGGACAGGACGGGGCTGGGGGTTGTTAATATTTGCAGGGGTAGAGAGAGAGCCAGCGTCCATGTCTGGGGAGGGGGGGAGCGGCTTCTCCCGGCATTGCCGATGGTGCCCAGTTGGGCTTTGTCTTGCTCGACCTTCGTGCAAGGCATTTTTTCCTCTGGGTCTCCTCCGGAGGAAGGGGAAAGGGGATTTGAAGGGGAGAGAGGCTCTCTGGGGCTCAGATTTCCCCCCGCCCCAGGAGCAGGGAGACCCAAACCCCTTGTAATGGCGTGCGTGCCTGTGTGTGTGTGTGTGTGTGTGTGTCGGGAGGGAGGGTTTA